CTGTACTCATTTTAACTTGGTTTTCTCTTTCATGTCTCTTCCCTCTGTTGCCATCACAGGAGGGAGCCTCACGGGGGCACTGTTCAACCCAGCTCTGGCGCTCTCTCTGCACTTCCCCTGCTTCGATGAGAACTTCTATCAGTTTTTTGTAGTATACTGGCTTGCTCCTTCTCTAGGTAAGTGTATTTCTATTTATTCTAGGTTAGGATATTTAAAAATTAACTTATGTTGTGTATGGTGTTTTGCATGCATGGGTGTACTGTTTGTGTGCCTAGTGCTCTTGGATCCCCTGGAACTGGAATTACGGATGGGTGTGAGCTGCCATGTGGGTCCTGGGACTTTAAACCAGTTGCTCTGAAGAGCAACCAGTGCTCCTAACTGATAAGCCATCTCTCCAGCCCCCAAGGTTACATAATGTAAAATATCATATTTTAAAATACGATGATGTATGAGCCGGGAGTGGTGGGGCACACCTTTAATCCCAGCACTCGGGAGGCAGAGGCAGGCAGATCTCTGTGAGTTTGAGGCCATCTGTTATGCCCAGATCGAGGGGACCCCAAAAGACCACCACTGAGACCAAATTCCACATGTAAAAGCAAAGAGCCTTTATTTTCAAGCTCTGAGCTTGGTCCCTCTGTCTGTCCGACACAGCGGTGAGAACAGAGAGCCCTGAGCCCAGGCAGGCTAGGGTTTTTATCATAGCAGAGGTTGATTGGCTGACTTTCTAGGGGGTATCTGTAAAACAAAAATAGGTGTGTGCTAGACTCAGGGACATCTGGCCACCTTATCTAATGGTTGGAATGTTTGGGATGTTAGATACTTCCCCATACCTGGGTGGATCTCTAGGTGGGGTCAGCTTATGGCTTTTCCTGGATCTGGGTGTTGCCTGCCAGTAAGCCTGTCACAGAAGCTGTGTCTGGGCCCCTAAGTCTGTCATGGCAGCTGTGTGGTCAAGCTGTTTTGGGGCCCCTCCACACCAGCCTGGTCTACAAAGCAAGTTCCAGGACAGCCAGAGATGTTACACAGAAAGACCCAGTCTCGAAAAACTAAAAAGAAAAAAGGAAAAAAAAAAACAAAAAACAAAAACCCAACCCTCAAGAATGCTATACTGTCAATTTCTAAAGCCAGAGAAGAGACAAAAAGAAAAAAGAAAAAGAAAGAAAATAAAACAACTTAGTTAACGTGCTTGAGAGGCATTTCTATTTTGTGCAGTGTCCTTTGAAGCTGTGTGTGCAGGTACACTCGCCCGTGTGTACATGTGGAGGCTAGAGGGGGTTTGGGGGGCTAATTGTTTGTTTGTTTTTCAAGACAGGGTTTCTCTGTGTAGTTTTGGTGCCTGTCCTGGATCTCGCTCTGTAGACCTCAAACTCACAGCCTGGCTCTGCCTCCCGAGTGCTGGGATTATTTTTAAGACAGGGTTCTTCACTGAACCTGCCGCTCTCTTGTTTTAGCTAGACTGGCTGCCCATCGAGTTCAGTGTCTATCCATCTCTGTCCCTACTTCCAAGTGCTGGGCTTACAAGGCACATGCTGCCACACCCAACTTCTATGTGGGTGCCTGGGGTCCAAACTCAGGTTCATGATCACACAGCAAGCGCTATCCACTGAGCCAACTCCCCAGCTCCTGGTACCGTGATCTGAAAGAGGGCTGCAGATGTAGTTTAGCGCTTCCCTACTAGGAGGGGGCAGTAAAGGGTCATTACTTCCATCCAAAAGTAATCTTTAGCTGGGCCTGGTGTGCAGCCTCAAATTCTAGTTACTTAGGAGGCTGAGGCAGGAGGATTATAAGTGTAAGGCCTGCTTGGGCTACAAAGCAATTTTAAGTCCAGCCTGGACAACTTACTGAGGCTGTCCCAAAATACAATGTAAAAACAGGACGAGATACAGCTCAGTGGTGAACTCACCTAGCACGTGAGTTCTATTTCTAGTACCACAATATATTTTTTTTAATAGCCAAGGATGTGGCTCTGTTGGTAGAGTGCTTACCCAGCCCTGGGTTCATCCCCAGCACTGCAGAAAGCTGGGTACGGTGGTAGATGCCTGTAGCCTCACACCTGGGAAGTGAGGCAGGAGGATCCCAGGACAAGGTCCCCCTCAACTACACAGTGAGTTTGAGACCAGCCTGGGCTACACAAGACTTACCTTAAAATAATAAAATCAATCAGTCAACCAACTTTTACTTTTTGCTAGATAATTCTTTTTCCCAAATTTGTGAGTTCCAAACCAAATGTCATAACCATTTCGGTTGCTTTTCTTATTTGTCAAAGATCATTCCGTGTGACAACACTGTGGTCAATATAGCCTCTAAATGACCAAGTTCCATTCATGTTAACACAATCTAGATCAGGATGGGGACGTGGCCCACCGAGTGCTTGCTTAGTATGCCCGAGGCTCCATCCACAGTATCAGAAAAACAAAAATTCTTTTAAAGAGGGATCAAGTAACATAACTATAATAATATGCACTTTATATATTATCAGTATTTATGCTATCTGCATTTCTTGCTTTTATTTAGTCATCAGCTAAATAAAATAGGCAGAACACCTATACAATAAAAGTAATTTATAAAAATTGAAAACGACTGAAGCTTTGGGGTTGGAGGCGCTACTCAGCGGTCACAGTTTGTCTAGTTTATCTAAAGCCTGAATTTGAGTCACATTGCAAAAACATAGCAAGCACAAAAATGAAGCATCACTAATATGCAAGTCATTTTTTTAACTATACTTGAAGACTTAAGCACTGTTTTTAGGCGTTTTATGTGATACATCTGTAAAACCCACTGCGGTGGTGCTCATGAAGAAAGAGCAAGAGCCTAGCAGACACACTTGGACATTCTGGGTGAACATTCCAGGGGAGCTGTCAATGTACTCCTCCCCTGGAGCCCCAGCTCCTCTCCAGATTTTTCTCTTCCTTAATCTATCTGCTCTGCTTTAAACCACCACCACCACCACCACCACCACCACCACCACCACCACCACCACCACCACCATGCTGTGCGCTCCTGCCTCCCACGCCCCTCTGAGGCTTGGAGAAAGCGCTGCCACTTTGCAGAGAACAAATTGACTCGAGCCCAGGGTTTCTCACCAAGTCTGTACTGAAGCGGAAGTCCTAACACTTGGGTTCGGCGTCATTTGAAGCCACGGTGTACGCCCCTAGTCTTACTGCCCACACAATCATTTTAAGGACTGGAGAGAGGTGTGAGAGCAGCTGTCTCCATTGCACCCAGTCACTGCCACCTTCCCTACAGACAGACTTTGGGTCTTGTCTTTCAGGTGTGTTGCTGATGATCCTGACGTTCAGCTTTTTCCTTCCATGGCTGCATAACAACCAAATGACTAATAAAAAGGAGTAACTACTCCCAAGGACTCAAACTGAGTCACAGGACAGTCAAGCTGGACATGACAGAAGTGATCACCTTTCAAACTCCGGCCGCACTGGACTCGTCACTGTTTCAGCCTCCTTTGTGGAAGGTGTCTTAATGTTCTCACTACCTGGACTTAAAATGACTGTGAAAATGGGGTGGCCTGTATTTGTCAGTTAAGCTTGTTCTTTTGAGTGATGTATTAAATGCTGCTAGAAAAGGCTCATTCGTTAAACCTCTATAAATCCCAGGCGATTACTCACTGTGATGGAAACCAGATGAACACCAGGTCAAGTGGGGAAGGACAGCTGGTAGTTCAGGACCAAAGAAATTCTGTGCTGTGTCCCTCTGCATGCACGGGACTTCAAAGCTCAACCGTCTGTCTCACTCACAGAGCCAGAGAAGGTGCTTTGCAGCCACATCTCAGTGACACTATCAATCACGGCACCTTTTCATAGAAAAGTTGGTTTTATATCCACTCAACAGGTTTCCCACTGGTTTGACACAGGGTCTCACCTGTGGCCCGATGGCCTGAAGCTTCCTGTGTAGACCAGGCTGGCCTCAAACACGAAATGATCCTTTTGCCTCTGCCTCCCAAGTGCTAGGATTACAGGAGTGTGCTGTCACAACCAGGGTTTGTTTTGTCTTTGTTTCGGGGGTATGGGCTTTCATGATGTAGCCCAGGCTGGCCTTCAACTCACCACCCTCTTGAGTGCTAGGATTATAAGTATATACTACCACAACTGCCTCAGGCTTCCTAGATTTTAAATATATTCTAATACCTAAAATATTTCTCTTAAGTAGACAATTTCAGCTAAATTGTCTTTAATAGAATAAACACCCCCACAGAGCCAAGACTGATCTTTTCACTTTCTCAATTGCACTTGACAGCTACCTAGAGACACAGGTAGGTTTTCTTTCTATGTTGCTGTATTTCTGTAATGATATACTGACATGCTCAATGACATTCTAATGACAAAATGTGGAAATGAATTCTTAACCTCTATTTTACAAGATCAGAAGCTAAGCCTAGAGGTGTGCTTTGTGACCCTCACCCAACGTCAAAGAGGCAAATGTAACTCTACACTAACATTTCAACAACAAAAATTCTCTTTAGTCATCACTGACTGGAGGAAGAGGTTCTGAAGAAAACATTAAACTCTTTTTTTAAATAAATTTAGAAACTATTTCCTCTGTATTCTTTTGTGTGTATGTGCATGTGAGTGCATGTATATGTGTGCACATGTATGTGCAGGTAGCCAAGGAGGCCAGAAGAGGATCCCCTGGAGCTGGAGTTGCTGGTGGTTGTGAGCTGCCACCTGGGTGCTGGGAACTAAACTCAGGTCCTCTGGAAGAGCGGCATGTGCTCTGAACCATGGAGCCATCTCTTCAGCCCTTATTAATACTTTTTGAAGTTTAAAATGCCTTCAACTTTTCTCCGCTGGAAGCCTTATTACGAAGTCCAAATTGTTTCATTTAAAATTTTATTTCATTATTTTGCGTGTAAAATATGGCACGCATGTGGAGATCAGAGCACATCTCCATGGATCTTTACTTAGGTTCTGGTGATGGAACTCGGGTCACCAGGCTTGTGCTGCAATATCTTGACCCCGCCGGGCCATCCTGCTGGCCTTGAAGTCTAATTACAAAAATTCCAGGCCATCCAAGCTACGCATATTCCTTGACCACAATACTGGTTTTATGGGGAGGGGGGTGAGATATGATCTGCTTGAGTAATAATGAACATTCAGCTGGGAGGCTGCCCCGTAACAGAAGCACTGAGGGGTGGTGGGCTCACAGACAGCGGCTGGGACAGTGCGTCACTAAGTCCAACAAGGAAGCCGGCTGGAGAGCTAAGGAGCAGCTTTATCATGTATTAATATATTACAGTACTTAAATGAGAGGTTTCAAATCTGAGACGGGTGGCTGAATGCATGTGCTCTCAGAGCCCTTCTCCAGTGGCATACTTCCTCCAGAAGTGTACATCCCCTACACCTGCCTCCCAATGGAATCTTTTAGAAAAATAATCTTAACAGGAGGACTCAAGGAGACGACACAAGATGACTGCAGAGTAGCGAGGTCGCTCATGACCTTTTACCCCGGTAGCAGTGAGGTCATGTTCAATCAGGCCACTTTCACCCATTCCTTACCCAAAAACTCAGTTTTGGCTTCTCTTCAAATTTGAGGACTGCATTCCATACCGGCAACACTACCAAATAAGGACTGTTCCCCTTAAACCACCCTTTAACTTCCAAAATGAAGCCGAGTTTTCTAACATGTCACGGCTCTTCACAGAACATAGAAGCTTTAATTCGTGTCACTAACATGCGTGCTCCACGGCTTGCCCGGAAGGGGAGGGGTCGTTACCGTGGAAACGCCGACCTCTGAACTCCAGCAGTGATTCCGGTACAGACTCCGGATCTGCCCTGCAGTCCTCTCAGGGTGGCACTTTTTTCTGCCACTTCCTGCGCCCTGGGCCTTGAGGTGGAAGTTCCTGTCCTCACTGCTGAGTTGCTAGTGGTCTTTTATTTGGGGGGAAGATTTAGGAGGTGCAGTCTTCTGAGAAGTATTTCACAGGGTGGCCTTTGAGAATTCATAACCCAGCCCTGTTTCTGTTTGCTCTGCTGTGTATTTGTGGCTCAAGATGTGTTCTGTCGGCTTCCTGCCACCATGCCTCTACCTTGCCATGATGGACTCTCATCCCTCTGAAACCACTAAGGAAAATAAACAACTCTTCCTTAAAGAAAAAACTTTATTTTAATGTGTCTGTGTGAATATATGCCATGTGTGTGCAGGTACCTGTGAAGGCCAGAAGGCGGCCGAGTCCCCTGGAGCTGGAGTTCCAGGGGGTTGGTTCTGCCCTCAGGTCCTCCGGAAGAGCAGCATGTGCTCTTAACCACTGAACCACCTGTCCCACCCCCTTTTAAGGTCTTAGTTGCAGCCTCCTTGTGGAACATTGCTCTGTGTCTTGGTAATGGAAACTCACAGAAGCATCCTTCCAATGTCTTGGCCTCCGTTCCTCGGCTGTCTCTCCTTTCGCTAGTGAATCTTTCGCTCTACCTGAATTCCACCTTAGCTACGAGCTTGTCGTTACCAGTCAACCCAATCCAGGAGCCCAAATACTCTAACCTCCAATTCTAACCTCTTTTTAGCCCCCTCACTCTAGCACCTTATCTCCAGTGATCTCAAGTACTTTCTACTTATGGAGTTTACGTCATTTGGACACCACTGTCACAAACATGCCTGCTGGATCCATAGCTCCCTTCCCTGTCTACCGTACTAACATGTGGCAACCACAGCTTAATCAAATACAACTGCTTATTCTCGGTGCAACAGAACACAATATCCACTTGCATTTTCTACCCAGCCGTCCATACACACATATTTTAGACTCACAGTTGCAGTAGATAATGCACATTTCTCATAAACCAGTATCTACAAATCCTTCCTGTGTGAATCTGGACAAGGCCAGTGTGCTTCCGTTACAAAAGCTGAGAGGGGCCAGAGGATCTCTGGTGTTTTGCAACACACACGCAGAAGGCCAGCTACCACACTGAATCTTTAATCTTTGGTAAACCCGTCTACATCAGCAAGATTCACACGATGTGACCACTCCTGGTCCCTAACTTCCTTTATGGATTGGGTTTATTGTTGTCCATTTTTTCCCCACTTTTGGGGGAGGGGGTGATGCCGAGGATGAACCCAGGCTTGTGTATGCTAGGTAAGTGCTCCACCACGAGGATGAACCCAGGCTTGTGTATGCTAGGTAAGTGCTCCACCACGAGGATGAACCCAGGCTTGTGTATGCTAGGTAAGTGCTCCACCACGAAGATGAACCCAGGCTTGTGTATGCTAGGTAAGTGCTCCACCACGAAGATGAACCCAGGCTTGTGTATGCTAGGTAAGTGCTCCACCACTAAGCTATACCCTCAGCCCTCTAACGGCTTCACGTGGATGGATTTCGTTTTATGAAAACTGCTGCAGCACCTCCACGCTGAGCAGCTTATCTCTGCAGTAGAGTGCACTTAGACTGTTATTTGGACGGACTGTGTATTCGCTTTCGTCACAATGCTGTCGCAATTCATTGCTCCTGTTGAAATGACCGCTACAGCTCCTTCCCTCTCCTCCTCTGGTGCTCTACAAACTAGACACCAGGCATCGGATCTGTTTACAGAGCAAGAGCAGGACCCTGCAGTGACAGGCCTGCAGGTGCGATTTCAAAAGCACGGATTCCGTGTTTAACTGCTTAATGGAATTTCACATTTCAAGTTTCTTAGATGTATTCTAATCTCATGGTGGGTTACGGTTAGCTTCTCTCCAGGAAGTCAGTATTAGGGCTGGGATGCAGCTCAGCTGGAGGTGTCTGCCTGCAATGCAGGAGCCCGGAGTTGGATCCCTAGACCCACATTAAGACTGGGTGTGGTGGTACATGTTGATAATCTCCATTTTAGGAGGTAGAAGTGGGAGGATGAAAAGTTCAAGGTCATTCTAAACTACAGGCAAATTCGAGGCGGTCTGGGCATCCCAAGTTCCTGCCTCAAAATAGACAGACAGATAGATAGACAGACAGACAGACAGATGAAGCCAGTACTAACCTTGCCAATAATGAACAGGTATTAAGCTACTTTCTAGGTACTGTTGTGGTAAGCACTTTCTGTATACCAATGATTAATTCTCTAAAACAATCTGAAAAATTCCAAGCAGTACTAGTTCCCTGTATATGCCTTTATTCACGCCCTTATCCCTCAAACTACTTCTCTTTAAAAGATAGGGTCTGATTATACTGTCCAGGCTAGCCTCAAACTCCTGATTCTCCTGCCTCTCTACCTTTCAAACGCTGAGATTACACACATACACCACCATACCTAGTCTGACTTCTCATTTGAAATTCTGAAATCCTTCCAACTAGACACGATTATGTGTATGGGTTTTGCCTATACATATGTTTATGCACCAAGTGTATGCAGTGCCTCTAAAGGCTAGAAGATGCCCTGGAAGAGTAGCCAGTTCTCTTAGAGGTAAGGCATGTTTCCAAGCCCAGCATGTTTCTGTTTGCTTGTTTTTAATGACAGACGTGAAAACAACTCCTGGCTCTGTTCTAAGTCAGTTCAATGAGTCAGACTTGGAAGAAGAGAAGAATGTCTACAAGATCAAGTAAATAGGACAATTTCAGTAACGAAATTAAACTCAAAAATGAAAAATTAAAGCTAAAGCAGAGTCAGGAAATGTTGGCTTGCTGATAATTACAAATTAATTTATTTTTCTTTCATTTTTGAAACAGGGTCTCCACTACATAGTCCTGATCTGGGGCTATGCAGAACAGGCTGGCCTCCAACACACAGAGTTCTGCCTCCTGAGGCACGCTGAGTTTCATTTTTAAGTAGTCTGACCTGACCTTTTCCCCTCAAGGCTATGGATGTACATGTCTAGCATTACAGAATGATAGTTAAGTCTTTGAAAGTCTCACACCCTCATTTACAGGGGACAGAGTAGGCCCAGATGTCTGTCTGCTAAAGTAGAACGGACGCCTGGTTTGACGGCGTCACTTGCAGTAGCAGGCCGACCACAGTAAATCCCACAGAAGGAAGAGTACACAGACTCTCCTGAAACTTGTTCCTTGACCAGTGCTTCTCAACCTTCCTAATGCCTCATCCTTTAACTGTTCCTCATGCTGTGGTGACCTCAACCATCAAATTATTTTTGTTGCTACTTCATAACTAATTTTGCAACTGTTATGAACCATAATATAAATATCTGTGTTTTCTGATTATCTTAGGTGACCTCATGAAAGGGTCATTCAACCCCCAAAGGGGAACCACTTCATTAGAAAGATGCTCAATGAAATTTCTATAATTAATCCATGAGAAAGTCTTGGCCCCCTACTGAAGAATGAGCACATTTCTAGGGTAAAATCATGGGTACATTTAGACTTAGAGCAGAGCAATTTGTAGGTGGGAGCTCGCACGTAGTGCAGGTTGCCGGTAGGCACTAAGGCTGTACTGTGTTTTGGAAAATAGGCTTAAAAACCACAGTTCAATATCCACATAACCTTCAGGGAGTCCTCTCTCTAGAACTCAGCTCCTCCTCTACATCATGGGTGCTAAAAACGTCATTGCTACCACATGGATCAGCTACTGTCACACACCATATATGGGAAAAACCCCGGGCAGCGGCTGCAGCTGAAGAGGCCTCGGGAATTCTTAGTTTCTCTCTTCAACTGGCCTATCACCTGGTTTAGTCTAACAAATTCAGAACTTCTGAAACTCCAGTTTAAAAAGATACAAAAAGGGGGTAAAGGTTTTTTCTTGCTTACTTTGCAAAATGAGAAACTCTGTGAAAAAACTGCTGCAAAGAACTCTAGACTGAGGGGAATCTGAGGGACCCACTTGCTAATCAGGGGACAACCCCAAATCACTCCTATACCCTTCTTTCAAAGGCCACAGAAAATCCAGGTATGAGCCACCCGTGGTGGTACACACCTTTTTTTTTTTTACTCTTTCACAACTGAGACTTTATTGGTTGAGTACACAGACATTTCAATTCTTAAAACATGGACCCAAACTCTAAAGAGTCATACATTGTGTTCATGTACCCAAAAGAGCCATGTATTGTTTCTCTTTGAACTTATTTCAGTGATGTTCCATCCTAAACTTGCCAAGTTTTCCCTAAGACCTCACATAACAATCAAATGCTCACAATCCTTAATTCCACTGACTCACAATTTTATGCCACATACAGTACATATTCAAAATTTCAATCTTTCACAGCACATTATCACAATTGTTAGAAAAATGGACTGCCATGACCAGAGACAGTTCTGACAGGGAAAGGACCAAGGAGTGGTTTTTTAGGATACAGTTCTACTAGAAACACGAGACCAGAAATAACTGAAAATATTCCAGACACAAACGCACGACCAAGACTCCAAGTATGCTTTGTGTTGTAGGATATAAAACTAGCCCCCTCTACGGAATGTTATGGTGACCCTCGAGACAGTCACAGCCTCTCCTGATTCAGTATCCTGCTATTTTCTGGTTGTACCAAAAAATAAACAACCAGCAAGTGATTTAACCTCTTAAAAAAAATCATTTACACTTAAAAAATGGGATGAGGCGGGACTTCATCCCACCTTTTAAAAATGTTTCTAGAGCTACTAAAAAACTCGCATTTACAAAATAGTTGTTAAAATATTCCTCTGGATTGTACAAGAAGTGAGGCGGGGACACTGACAGGGTGGATGGTTAGTCGGACTTGGCTTCTTTCTCTTCGACTTCAGAGGCTGGACTCTGGTTCTCAGCCTCTCCATTTTCTGCAGGCACATCTGTGGTTTGCTGGTCAGCCACCTCCGCCTGTTTGCCCTTTGCTCCCCTCTTCCCTTTTGTTTGCACTTTTTTGTCTGATGGTTTATCCATTCCCACGGCCTTCTTCGGCTTCGCGTCCACCTTGGTAGGGGCGGGCGTGGCCGACAGCCTCACCGAGCGCCGCTTGGGCTCCGCCTTCGCCGCTCCGTCGGCGCTAACCTTCCTCTTGGGCATCGCTAACCTTCCTCTTGGGCATCGCTAACCTTCCTCTTGGGCATCGCTAACCTTCCTCTTGGGCATCACTAACCTTCCTCTTGGGCATCGCGGCAGCGCTGGGTGGGAGGCGCGTGCAAGGCCGAACCCGTCACGGAGCTACACCGCCTCGGCCGCCACCGCACGAACTGCTGCGACTCGCCCAGTGGTACACACCTTTAATCCCAAGACTTGGGAGGTGGAGGCAGAGGCAGCTGAATCGCTGAGTTCTAGACTAGGCAGAGATACAGTGTCTCAAAAACAAAGAGGCATAAGCTAAGCTAGAATTCTAAAGATTCTACCCAGGTGCCTATGGAAACCATACAGCAAGAGCTGATTAAACTTCAAACTATCCCTGATCCACACAGCATCAGCAAGTCTTTCAATGTTTTAAGACTCACCTCATGGAAGACCCGACAGAAGTTACACGTTTTATTAACTTCATCTGTAAAGTGCCTTCCGTACAAACATAAAGACGGGAGTCTGGGTCCCAGCACTATTGTGGGGCACGGTGTCTATAATTCCAGCGCGGAGAGGAGGAGGAGGAGTGTGAACCCCGGGGCAGGAGCCGGAAGACAGAAGGGTCCCTGGAGCTTGCTGGTGAACCAGTCTACTCTAGGTTCAGTGAGTGATCCTGTCTCAAGAATCAGGTGGCTGGGGCTGGAGAGATGGCTCAGTGTTAAAAGTGCATACTACTGAAGTTCAGTTCCCAGCAACATCACAGAGCCCACAGCTGCCTGTAACTCCAGGTCTAGGGGATCTGACATCTTCTGTTGCACAATTA